TGAATCTCTCATTGGTATTTCATTTGAGCAATTTTTATCATGAGTCTCTTGTTTTCTCTCCTCTTTTTGCATAATTTTATTCTTATTTTAATGTGGGTATCTCAATCCATTGGAGATGCTCTTAACATTGAGATTTCCTATTATATACTCCATTTGTGTCGTTTTAAGATTAATTTTATGTTTCAATATAGGTGTCATTTTAAAATTCCAATATAAATTTCGGTGTAAAATACATATTTTATCTCTAAGGCTAACCAATAGTAGAACAATACCAATAGTCAAACTGACCTTAAGGGTATAATAAAGTTTTAAATATATTTTTTAATTTGTGTGAAAAGTGTAAAAACGATACCTATTCTAAAACGGAAAGAATATCATTTACACATTATTTGGGAAGTGATTTGTGACAAATTGCATAGGTATCATCTCCACATTCACTCTCCCAAAAATAATATGACATTGAAATATGACATGACATCTCTTACAAAATATCTTATAACATGACAATAATGTTTCGTAATTATATTTTCTCACAAAATATAATTTCTCTGAATTTTTATAATAGATATTTATTACAATAACTATTGCCAAATAAATTTAAAGAATGAAAATATATTTGTATTTAAAAAAAATAATGAATATATTTTTTTACACTATGCAATTAAAAATAACCAAGATATTCAATATTATTCGTATGTTAATTTACATTTACAAAAATTTATGAATATACTTCTTTAACACAAGAAATATTAAATAGACCAAGATATTCAAGGTTATTCGTATGTAAAATTCCAATTATTGAAAAAAAATTACAATTATGTATCATTACATTTTAATATTGGAAAATTTAAGTTTTAAATTCAATTACAAATCAATTAATCATTTTTGTATATTATTTAGTTTTTTTTAGAAAGAAAAAAGAAAACTACTCTTTAATATCAACTCAATATTTAATAATTTTTAAAATGGATATAGGGAAATAAATACGAAATTTGGTTATGAATTTTTTTTGCAATATGCATATTTTAGCATATACATGTTTCGAGATTAGCATATTTATATCATAAGATTGCTCTACAAGTTGCATTCTCCTAAATATATACATACCAAAATAAATTCCTTACAAAATCTTTCATGACTAAATTTTGTATTTGTTTTTCCAAATAGTCAATTAGTAATTCTCAATATTGTTTCTTTATAAATGAAGTTTAAATAAAGTTTTATATATTTGATAATATTTGTCGTCTTAATTTAAAAATTGTATAAAATATATAGATTACATTATACAACCAAGAGCGAAGTTTAGTATGATTAGCGTGTACTAATATGTTTGCATTAATTACCCGAAAACAACAAGCAAACTTGTGGTTTCATGAGTAAACATCTAATTATCTGTTTCAAATTTGAATGCCCCAAAAAAAACAAGCAAAGTTGTGGTTTCAAGTAATGTGGGGTTTACTTTTTTGGTCCAATATTTGCAACTTTAAGCGGTGCTGTATTTATAAGATATTGCGAAAACACCATGATTGGCGTTGTTGTAGAACTTCGAAGGTGAATGGGTGATATATGATCTCTAGCGGTACACTTGTAACTTGGGTGAAAAATAAAACTCAGAGCAGAGACAAGGAAAAAAAGCTTTGTACATGTTTTATAATTAATCACTTGTCGTCAAATTTGAAAAGCTTGAACTTTTGAAATCATTCTCTCCTCTTTAGACTTAATTTGATCGAGAATTGGTTTGATCATAAAACTTAATGATCCTAATGAATTATGTTAAAGTAAGGAGCACTGAAAGTTTAAACAAAATACCAAATCGCAATGAAACATCAGTTCAAACGATTATCCAGAGAATATATATGACCAAGATAAACTAAGAAAACACACAAAAAAGGAACATGTCAAAAATACATTAAGATAAACACACACACCTATAGAGATTACAACATATAGAGCTTATTTTACTCGCCTCTTTTTCTTATTTTGCCTCCAGCTCCTCCAATTTGAACCAAACTTGGAACATAATTAAGAATAATTGGCCAACCTGAATCCGTTGTATATTCTTCCAAATCCACTGATGTGACTTTATTATCCTCTCCAACAATGTATACCATGTCTTGGGTGAAGGTCTCGTCTTCATCATCTATCCATGTCTCACACAACACAAGGACTTTCTGTAGGACCGAAATTGGCACACTACGAGATTGGAGATGAATTGCGATAAGAAATACGTTAAGGGAAGAG